TTACTCCACAGCCCCACCTGCAAAAAGTTTGATCCTTAACTCGCCCACCGTTTGTAATCGAATAGTTTAAAAATGTCAGAAGTAGGGTAGATATACTGGTAAATGATCATTCATACTCACACCTCTGTGCATTGCGTATGCGTGTTTGTGTATGTGTTCTTTTGAAGTACAATGTTATAGTAATCCTTGCTCACCATTAAGAGGTAGGAATAGGACTTCAAACAGGGAAGATCTATATAATTATCATTTTATGTGGGATATCAATTATTAAAATAGGATAAGAATCAGTGAGGGCCGAGATAAAACATTTCTAATGCAACAATTTGAAACACATTCTCTTGACAAACTGTTCAATTGTATTTTCTTTCTTTGGGGTGTTTTTTTGTGTGTTTTTTTTTGTGCACCAGCGTTTAAGTTTCTGTGTGTCTCTCTTTCTCAGTTGAGCATAATGGCCAGCATCAACGACATTGATTTTCAAGTGGTTCATTGTCTGGTGGTCGCTGAGTTTCCTAATAAAAAGGGAAATGTTATTGTCCAAACTGTGCATGGAAACTTTTACAACAGTTTGATGTTGGGATATCACGTCTTCTCTGGCCCAGAGCTCAGGTGGAAAGCATGAAGATGAAATAATTTAATTGTGAAGCAGGTAATCTGCAAATTCATTTTTAATGTACTTTCTCGTTGTCGGGGGCCGTTGCCATAGGCCTAGCACAGAAAGCGAAAAAAATCTCTACATCAGAGGGTTTCAGGAAGCACCAAAGACGTACTTTAGCCACTTGTCTATTTCCGAATCATGGTCTTCGTAGTGGGTCTTGAGTCCAATTTCATTCTTTTTTCTCAGCCAGCTTTGCTTCAAATGAAACACGCATGCTTTGATCTGTGTGTTTGGGAATATGTCTTTGAAGGCTGTGTGTGTCGCGAATTCGAAATCCAGATGGATGGATGCTGGACTGAATTCCACACCCTTTTGCTTGCATTGTTCACAAATAACAGCCAACATCTTTTTGTGTATGTTTGCTGTTTTGTCTTGCAGAATGCAGTAAAACAATGGCAGATAATGTTCATTTCGCTATGTGTGGACAGTGCAAAGCTGATAAAAGAAAGTAGGGCTGAACTGGAACGTTCCATCTCTGTAGAATTCGGCTTGATTTCTGATCACTTTAAGATTGTCTTGAAATGTTTTAACTACTATTTCATCTTCAACAGCAACAACCATGTTTCTTGGAATAGGACAGCCTCCGTTTTTTTAAAGCAGTCAAGTGTCAAGACTTCTCTGTTTGAAGGTGGTTTGGGCTGTAGCTTTTTGCTCTGGTTGTAAATTGCTCGACGTATTCTGGTATAGTATTTGGGGAACAACGCTGTTTGGTCACAAGCACTTACTTCCTTGATAAACCCTTGGCTGGTCGATCGTCTGGATCATTCAGAGATCGTTTCTTACAAACTTACAGCTTTGTTTTATTTCTCTCTTGGCTGTAGTTTCTCTCTCTGGTTTCTCGTGGTTGTGATCCAGGTTTGCTGACACTAACCTTGTTATTTCTGTGTCTGTTGAGCATCTTGCTTTACATCCATCTCTTGAACATTTCCAGTTGGTCTTGGTGTTTTTGTGTTTGCCTATACTAAATTGGACTCCTTCAACTAGAGGTGCCTTCCTTCCTCTCTCTGTAGTGTACGTCTCTAATATAAATTTGTCCATTGTTTCTGACTATGTTCGATGTTTTTCGCCTGTGGAAAACAAACATTGCACGAATCTACACCCTTTTGACTGATTGATGTTTGTGTGTGTGTGTGTGTGTGTGTGTGTGTGTGTGTGTGTGTGTGTGTGTGTGTGAGAGAGAGAGAGTAAGAGAGAGTGAGTGCGTGCGCGCGTGCGTGCGTG